TATATATATATGTATATATATGTATGTATGTCTTTGGTGCCCTTGGCTTCATGAAGCACTGCTACAGCATCCCTCCCATTGTCTCCTGTTTACCTGACTGCTGAGGAAATTGTCCTGTTATTTAATGTTACATGCACTGATATATGAAGTATTTGGCTGGCACACATTGGACTAATTTTTTTTGCCATATGCAGCCAGGATTTGTTTTTAAGTAAAAGATTAGGAATAGTGGCCAAATATTTTAAAACAGCAGACAAAAGATTTTAAGTTCTAAGACATAATTAATGTGTAATGGGTCGTGGCCAAACGTTAGACAAGTAGAAATGTGAGCTGCAACTCATGACAATCACAACCTACGCCCTCCACCTTTAAATTGTCAAACTCCATCCTCTATCTCTACCAGTTTCTCTCTTCACTCTCAGCATTTCTGTCACATCCTGCCGCCTCTTCCCTCACAGTCTGTTCTTCAATTTTGTCCTCTTCTCATCTCTTTGTGCAGACTGACACTGTTGCTCACTCCTCCTTCTTGCTCCTTATCACCTTCTTCCCTCCTTTCATGCACTCCATTTTAGCCCTCTCCTCATATCTGACCACTGCAGACGTCTGGCTTTAATCCCTCCTCATACACACACTAAAGTGCAGGTGTTATAAATTAATGCCGTGTTCCCCCTTGAGCGCTCAGCATGATGTTTGGATGTGTCACAGTTGGACTCCACTTTCTACACGGTCTGGTCCTCCTTTGATAAAAGTGTTGTGTGTGTGTTGAATTTGAAAAGACAAACGTTTGAGAAGCCTCACGTCGTTCAGGTGTTATGACAGGATGTAGTTATCTTAATCTTACACCTGCAGTCAAACACTGACACTGTATTCTGTCACAGAAACACTCGGCATAAAAATATGGACTAGAAAAAACACTGATCCTGTCTGAAGCAGGGCTGTTCCTACTTTAAGTTGTGGTGAGTTAGGTGTAACAACCTAGAGACAAATAACTATTCCTAAATACTGACATGTTGGGCTCAAGATAAGAATTGTTTATCTGGAAACATACGCTAGTTTCAAAAAGCTTTAATTTTCCAAAAATGTCATCCATTAGATTCCATGTAAAAAGTTTTGTAAAGAAACAAACAAACAAAAAAAAACAGTAACAGTAGCTTGAAGTGTAGAATGAGCTAAACAGTAATTTATTTACATTTATGTAAAGGGTATTTATAAGTGCAAAAGTCTTAATAAACTAATTCTGGGCAAATCTATTTGCTATTTAGAATTACAACTCATTTTAGGAGATAACTTTAGTTATCTGTCAGAAGAATGTATTTAAATATTTGGATATTTAATGACATCAATTAATGTGTTTTTTAATCACTTTTAGCTATTTCATTAGCAAATTCTAACTTTGAAGAATTGTTTTATTTAGTTTCTAAATATTTTAAATTAAACAAACTGTTGCCAACTACTGTAAATGGATTAGTACATTTTTGTTTTTTAATTCAAATATGTTCTAACTTCCATTACAAACATGGACCCCCAGTATAGATACACATTGGCTTAAATGTCTTAAGCCACTGTGGCTACTGCGAACATGTAAAGGATGATGGCGCAAAGGATGAAGGATTTGTAAAACATCTTTTTGACTTAATTATGTTAGTATCAGAGTATGAATCACATATTGTTTTGAAACATCCATCCATCCATCCATTTTCCTCCGCTTATCCGTTACCGGGTCGCGGGGGCAGCAGTTGCCACCCAAATCACATTGCACCGTACCTAAACCTTCCTGCGGGTGGTGAGTCCAGTGGAAGGTTGTTTTGAAACACTGTCAGTTTATCTTTTGATGAAAAAAGTAAATGAATATGACTGGCTACCTTTTCAAGAAGTAAATTAGTAAAATTGAAGTACATTTTCACTGTGTCCCACTGCAGCCTGGTACCAAATGACCAACGAACCGGCACTGGTCCACGAAGCAGGGGTTGGGCACCATCTTCTAAACCATATCAACCGTGACACCTGTGAGGGCTAGGCGCTGCAGAAATTCCAGAGAATCCAAGCCTGGGATTGTACGATTTGGTTAGTAGACTCTGTTTCTGTGTTTGTAAAGTAGACTTAAATGGACAAAGCCATTTCACTGTCCACAGGTCAGCATATGTAATTATTGTTAGCCAAATTAGAGCTTTGGATTCTTTTTGTAGTGCCTAACTCAAGCCTGTAATGTTTAATGAAGTTGAGAGAGTGGCTGCTAATATAAAACAGCCGTCACTGCTTTAAGAAGTCATCCCAAAACCATAATGTGTGAGGAGAATGTGCTCCATGTGCTTGAAACAGACAGTGAAGAATACAGACTGCTGCAGCTAATAAGCTGGCTACTGATTATACTGTTATGGATCAACACAACTGCATATTTTTGTAATGGGATTTCAGGGTCTGTTTAACCTCCAGAAGAGCCACACTGCTGCTCTGACTGAGTTAAATGTAACAGGAAATAGTTGTAACTAAATATGAAAGCATGTGATCTCCTGGAAGACAGGCACTGAGAAGCAACAGAACCCGAATCATTGTCTCATGTCTTGTTTTTGTGCTAAAAGCAGTGTTGATTAATACTTTTGGATACATTTGGCTGGTTTCTCCTCAGTATCTCAGGTGCAGTTTATAGGAGAAGCTTAATGGTTTTAGTTAATTAAGTTAAATTAGCTTACTTTTTACCCAGAGAACTGTGTAAGGTCTTTCTGTGTCTGATTTAAGGTTTGAAATATTGGAGCAGGGGGCGGTGGGGTGGAGGGCAGAAAGAACTGACTGCTCTCTTGTGTGAATCCTCCTGTAGCGTTGAAAAACTAATTATGCAAAAAATATCATGTCATGCCACATTTATCCTGTTATAATTGGGTAGTTGTGTGCGCTCATGAGGAGAAACATGTGCTTACGATAAAATGTACAAACACTAAAAGAGACAAGAGTTCAGCAACGATGCCTGTGTGACCAATAGGCTGCAATGTTTTGATTGTTCTGGAAGATCACTTCCAAATACGAGACAGATTTTCCAATAAACTGCATTTGGAAGTGAAAGTTTGCTGTTGTGACAGCTGTGGGATTCTTCTAATGACCTCAGACCGACAGTTATTTCACCATTTGCTGATTCCTTGAAGTTAAGTCGGACACAATGTGGAACAGTAATTGAGTGGCACACATACATGTATAAGAGGTTGTGTCCTGATGCTGGAAGTTCTGGACGGTGTGTGTGTGGGTTATGAGTGATGGAGTCTGGTGTCATCTCTGAGGCAGAAAATCAAATGAATCCCTGTTAGTTTTTCACTTTATCTGACATGCATTTTAGTAGGTAAACAGTAGATTGAAGTTGAGAATTAGCTAAAAGGTAGGAGTAAGTGCAATAAAAGTAATAAACTATTTCTGTGCATATGTATTTGCTATTTAGAACTAGTTTGCTAAATTCTAACTATTAGGTTTAGAAATTTAAGTTTAGTTATTTGTGAGAAGCATGTATACAAATGTTTGGATATTGAAATAAATTAATTTTATATGTGATCACCTTGATTTCATCTCCTTTTTGCTAACTTTTGATAATTTCTTGTTTGTTTTTTAGATATCTTTTGTTTATCAAATGCCCCTACATTTTATACTGTTGTTGGCCATTTAGCTGTGAGTTAGACTTTGCTCACAGGCTCTTTTCCTGCCTGCCATGGATTTAGTTCAACAGCATTTTCCTGTACTATTACATCTGTGCCTTTTTTGTGATAGCTAAAGGAAGCAGAACGTTATGGGTATCAACTCTTTAACAATAAAAAACATTCCCCAAAAAGAATAAAAATGCACAAATTTAGCTCAAAATTGGTAGCAGTGGGCTTACTTATGATGAAACTTATGCAATAAATATTTGTTGGCATATGAACTTTTGATCAAACATAACCTACTATGTGAATTCTTTTCTAAAAAAAAGTTGTTAAACATGTCCCTAAAAAATTCTAAAAAATATCTATATATATGCTTTTTAATGTTTAAAATCAGAAGAAATATTTTTTGTAACTACAGTACAGCCTTTGATCAAACTATACTATACTAATAATTTCCGTAGAAAGTCTTAAAAAAACCTTTTAAATCCGCCAAATAGATGAAAATGCACTAATTTGTCTCCAGTGTGCATTTTTCTCAATAAAATTCAGACAATCTTTTTTCTTTACAAAAAAAAGATGTCTAGGTTTTTGAATTTCTGGGCCTCTCATTGGTATTCTGTTAGAGTGGCTAATATTGATGTTTTGCCTTATTATGGGCTAACGTGCAGCAATGTTGAAGGACCTTATGGCTAGTTTGTTCAAGGATACATATATAATATCAGCACAGAAACTCTGTGCTGATGTTTATTATTGACAACACCATGTGTGGTCTTAAATGTTAGCCCCCATGCCTGTTATTTTTATCAGCGTTAGTAAACCAGTGTTTGACCTGAATAGACCATGAAGAAGAATAGTAAAGTTTCATTGGCATTTAGATCAAGAGCTGTACTAAAACCTAAATTGCAGCAATTGGTTCCAACCAAAATAGAAACATGAGGTTGGTCTTTTAAGGAAATGTCTTGAAGCACGAACGTGCCTGTTGTTTTTTTTTTTTTTTTTTTTTTTTTTTAATTCAGACACTCCAAAACCTGGGTTTAATGGTGTTTCAAAGAATGTTAGGTCAAATGAGATCACAGTATAAAAGGTCCTGGCGTAGTTTCTGGGTGAGTACATGAGAAAGGATTGTCTGACACCATTTTGTTGCAGCATGGTTGCAGCGTCTTCTGTTTCTGAATCTAGATCTGTCCTTGGATCTTCTGTAGATATGCAGGACTCGTATCATTAGAGATGATGGAAAAAATAGAGATACTGTAGATGAAAGCTTCCTTTTCTTCACCAGATGCTAATGATGAATAGAAGGTCCATTATGTGATGCCACCAGTGAAAGTCTGTGACCAGATGTTTTCATTATTCACACAGGTGAACTGCTGTGTTATTCATGAAAGGCTGTACTCTGATGGATGCAGGATTGAGAACAAGGACCACAGCTGAGGGAGGAGACCAGATAGTAGAGCCACATGTTTGACAGCATGTGTGATATAAGTGAAGACAATGTCATACAGGTTTGTAAATTATTGTTTCAATTGTCTGTCTTAATTTAAAGAATTGTAATTTTTACCGTCTGGTGATAATATGTGGTGGCCCTGATATTAATGATTAGATTTTACTAGAACTTTGTTCTTACAATCTGACGTGAACATTTTTAGAGAAGTCAGTCATTTTTGATTTGTAGCCATCTTCTAAGGCCGGGTTGAGCTAATGAAATAGTACTAATGGGATTCATGTCATTTGACATGTGCCAAACACCTATGTATCTGTCAATCCGACTGCACAACTCACAGTCATTCTGTACCACACACGTGCCTTCTTTGAAAAGTACTGCTGCCACACTATCATGTGCTGTAGTCTAGGTGCAGACGAAAGTCCATGTTATTGGGACCTTATGTGATACTAACTAAACCTACTTCTGTCTTGAAAGATAATACTTTCAGTATGCTTTCTGTATAGACGATGAAAATAGGTTTCAGTTGAGCCCTTGTTGTTGCAACCAAAAAAAATAACCTAAAGCAACAGCGAAGTCAAGCATGACGCTGTGTTGTTGATGAGTCACTGTTTTATTTAAAAGAGCTGACAATCCCCAGATGCTGTGATGAAGGGATGTGACTCTGATGAATGTAGGAGTACAGTAAACTGTGCAGCTATAATTTGTTACTTGTTACTAGACGCCAAACTACTGCTAATTAAATTTGACATAAAAGTAGGATGCTACCAAGCTTAGAACCAAAAAGGATCATACTTTAGCATTGATCTGTCTATTGGCTGACTTTGGTTCAAAAGTTGGTCTCATGAGTCACTGAAGCATTAGTGAATCCAGCAGTGGACAGGAAGAGGAGCTGCTGTGAGTCGGCAGACTCAGATTGTGTTGGTGACCAGGAGAAACGTACTTCATCACTTCGTCGTATCAGATCACATGGGATCTGTTTTAAAGAAAGCCGTGCACTTAATCATGCATTTGTAATTGAAGGATATAATGCAAATGTGTCTCCTCTCCACAGAGCTGAATGTATCAACAAGACTTGTGGCTTCAGCAGACAGAACCATCAAACATGGGAATGTCCTTAATGACCAGGTATGGCCACTTTTAGAAAACACTCATGCAGTCAAACCTGGCTTTAGGGAAGTGGTTCAAAGTGAAATGAACCTTCACAATGAACAGATGAACTTTCTCATTTTACCCCCCCAACAACCCCCCCCCCCCCCCCCTCCCCCCCCCTTCCCCCCCCAGTACGTACCAAGAAGTTGATCTGGGGTCAATTTAATGCCAACTGTCTGCTGACAGGAGACAAACTTTTACTAGTCCATAAACTAGTTGATGATTGTATTAACTAATGTGTCCGTGCTAAACAGTGGTGTCATGTTTCGGGACGTTTGTTTTTAGTGGAGCTAAGGCCTCACTATTTACACAGAGGCCTCTATTGAAATTCCTTAGACTGAAGCTGGACCAATATACAGTATATACAAGGCTGACCCAGGAAAGTCTGTAGAAGAACTTGAAAAAGTGAATTAGCAGCTCATACGCACTGCTCTTTCAAGTGAAACAGTTGAATCAGATTAGAATTTAAATGCACTACCGGCTGATACGAAGATGCTGGCTGAAAAAAAAAAAGAAAAGAAATATATATATATATATATATATTTAAAAACTCTGAACTTAGGTTAAAGTTGGTGAGAAAGTGTACCACTATAAAAGAACCACAATACATTTTACTTGGTTTAAAGATCATAGACCACAGTTTGTGTAATACAGGAATGCGGTTTGATGTCAAAGCCTGGAGTGAACTGGCAGCTAACTGCCTCACCCTTCCTAGCAACAGAAACACTGCTACTTTGTATCTTTCACATATTTGCATTTATTTATTTAATGAGTCAGAAGAACATTGTCAATAAACTGTAAGCTATATGTGAGACTACTTTTGTGAAATTCTTGGGACTAACATTTTTCTTTCTTTTGCTTCAGTGGAGGTAGCTTCTTGATGATAGGATTAGAGGACATTCATCTGCATCAAGAAATATGAGGTAAGGAAGAAAGAATTATTTCCTATAAAGAACTGGTGAAATGTGTTAAATATGTTGCTGAAAGAGTTAATTGAGAAAATGCTAAACTAAAATGCTCAAAATAGCTCATAGTGTAATGATGGACTTGATTATTATTCAGGAAAAGTGTATGTTTTGGTAATTGTACAATTGATCATAAGCAACATACCATAGTAAAAAAGTCCTAAAAAAGTTATGAAATATGTTTCTCAAAAAAAAGGAAGCTAATTTTCTTTGAAATACGTAGCTTTTATATGGTTACAATTCAAAAATTATATACTTAAAAGCTATGTGAACTTTTGGTGAAAAACAAAATGCCATACATATAAAGTATCTGAGAAAGTCTTCAGAAATAAAAGAGACTAAAATGTACTCATTTTACTAAGTAAGTAGCAATGTCCTTTTATATGGTTTGAATTCAGAAAAAATATACTTTCTTGGAATGTCAACTTTTGATCAATGTAATATACTATACTAAGTTCTGAAAAAGACTTTAAAAATAAGTTTGTCAAAAATGACTGCAAATACACTCATTTGCCTAAAGAGAGCTAAAAACTCCAAAAAATATTTTATA